TTTATGTAACAAGAAACAAGCATTTTAGAGTGAAACGGGGTTGGTAATAAATATTCCAAAAATACAAATGTTACTCTTTAAAAACAATGATGCTAATTAAATAGTACAGGTCTTTGCCTCGTCGGTTCCCCTGAGTCTATAAGAAGGGGAACAAAAACTGTATCAAATAGAAAACATACAAAATAGCTTTGAAACTCATAATACATACTAACAAAAACAAGCAGAAATATCATTGCAACAACACAAAAGCATTTTTTTTTGTCTATTTTCTAGTGCAAGTATCTTGGAACACTTTAAATAACACAAAACTAACCTAAAACTTTTTTTTTCAGCTTGTTTTAATGCAGATTAAAAAGTATCTAAGTCAAAAATTATTTTCACTTAGAAAATAAGTGAAAATTATTTCACTTATGTTCTTGTTCATTTATAACAAGAAAGTTTTTCTTGTTATAAATGAAAAAAATCTCCTAGCGGAATTAGTACTCTTTTATAAACATTAAGTAATTATTGACTTAAACCAAGCTCCTATATTTTAATGAAAAGTTAGTTGTAAGTTAAATTTGTCTCATTTCATGCATTCATTCTAAGATACTTGCACTAGAAGCTAGACAAAAAAATACTTGGTAAGATTTTGTTTTTTTTGCAGTGATGAAGTCTTTATACCAAGGGGTGATGTGAAATAAAAAAGGGGAAAAAAAAACATTGTGGAGTGCAGTGGGTGATGAAGGTGTGGCTGCAGGCTGGAGCTCTGGACAGGCCAGCAACACTCTTAAATCTCTGGTACTGCCCACCATGCAGTTCTCCTCACAGGCGGCGCGGCGTCCTATGATTTATGATGAATCCATCTCTCAATTTATCACCGATGGCAGAAATGTATAATTCAAAACATTTCATGTTTTGCTTTGTGCGTCGCTCCTATGCCTCCCTGCACACAACCAAACTGCACAGCAGAGTGCTGCCTGTGCATTTCGTAATTTGCTGCATGTACACAAAAGGATATTAAGGCAAATCTGTTCCTGAATAAAGATATTTGATGCAGGAAAGTGGGATTGATGTAGGAAAAATTGTTCTCAAAACATGACCGCCTGCATGTTTCGAATCCATGTCTTTATTACTTTAAACTGCTGTAATGTGCAACTAAGACCAAACTGACTCTTTGGACCTGACAGTTATTAAATTTGTCTACATCCCTTTGCAAAATTGAAATACAGTCAAGACTTTTGTAATTCTGCAGTATGCAAAACCGGCAGCTACAAATAACTAAAATAGGAAAATATACTTAATTTGCACCGAGGAATATGTCTTAGCGCTAGCGCAGAAGCTAACATCTACAGTCTTCCTTATTCCTGTTGTTGAGTGTGCAGCCAAAAAATGCAGCTTCCTTTTGAACATATTTTAGATGCTCTGTGGAAAAATCCAAGTTTACTACGATCAATTTGGAGTCATGTTACACAGAAACACCCACAAATTGGTGAATAGTGAACTGAAAATACTGCCCTGTATGTAAGGTTGAATAACGTATCATGACATAAACACTTCATATGAGTAGATATTGATAATTATTGATTAGGTTTTTTGTTTTAAATGTCTGAAATGCTGTCAAACCTTTCCAATTTTATCCACAGTTTGCACCACACACCATTGTTTTTTTTTATTTTTAGGCACTTATGAATCACGATGGCTAAATGTGAAACTGTTGCTGCGAAAGTTACTCGAGCTGTTGCTAGGTAACCAAATGGAGAGTTAGTTGATGCTACCAACCTTACTTAGCTTGGTTGTCAAGTTGAGCAGCTAAAGCCTTTCCTCTGCCTACATCCCCCAGAATGCCATGCATTTTGGGAGCAGAGTTCAATGAATATATTGACTATTATATCAGCCATAATATCTACTGATATTGATCACGTGTCTATCATGATATATTTTGTTATTGATTTGTTGTCCAGCCCTATGTGTAAGTGGTATTTTTCAGCATGCTTTGCATGTCCCATTTGATGACTTAGCTTTCACAGCTAAACTTTGATAATGTCTGCAAGGATTTCATCAAGATCTCTTAATGCTGCCCTAACCAAGTACTTAAAGAATGGACATTAAAACTAGCCAGGTCCTGTGGCTCTCATTCCCCTAAAATCTTTGTGAGCACCAAGTAGTTAAAAGTTTGATGAAGTCTTTGAATTTTACTGGTCGCCACTCTTCAATGTGCTCACTGTCCCCTCTGGTGGAGTCAGTACACCCAGCGGATCGCCACGAGGTCCATCAGTGGTAACATGTTGTGGGGTAAGTAATGAATATCCTGTTGTGTGTGTTTCAATTGCATGCCCAGTCCCTCTTATTTCCCATGGTGCCCTTGGTAGGTCAGTCGCCGATGGTGCTCCAAGCACATTTTGCCTCACAGACTAATTTTGCATCCTTTAATATTGCATGGAGCTCATTTGGAGGATGTGGCGTCGGGGTACAGTACACACACGGACACGTGGGCCTGCACAAGCACGCGAGTCGCCTTTTTCTGTTGTAATTTACCCTCAGCAGCTCTCAGGGGTTCATTTTAGGATGTAGGACCGTTTTGGATTGATGTGGTTACACATGTCAAATTATGTCTGCACCATGTGTATGTGGAAGTGTGTACACACTTAATGTTTTTGTGTCTGTGCATTTTCCCTAGTTTTACGGAAAAGTGATGCAAACGCCCCTTTCTGCGCTCCTCCAGTGTCATCAATCACCTTGCCACTTTAATTTATGTGCCACTTTTGGGAGCGTTGTCGTTTATTTTCAGGGGAAGGAATATCACCATTGCACAGCTCAGGGGAAAAGTGGCTCCTGTTTGCAGCAACATATTGTTCCTTAACCCTTTATGGGCTACAAGACATTCGCTAGATTGCTTCAAAAGGTAAAGAGATATATGTTTGGTAGATGTTCTTATGAAATCATACAAATCCTATTTATAAATGTCAAAATATCAAAAAGTGGTGAGGGTTTTTCTTTAACGCAAATTATGCTTTTTATGCTGTTGGGAAAGAAGTTGAATTGTTTTAAATAAACCTTGGACAAAAGACCAAGTTTGTTGGCTTTCAGAAGAAACTAGAAGGAACCTCGTTATCCTACTCTGTACCTACAGGATAAACTTACAAATTGTGAGATTTTATGCGAAATCTATAGAAAACAAGTCTGTCCACTAAGACTAGGCTTAGCCGTGTATCTACTCAGCTGGTAGCTGTAAGGAAATGCTAGCTATGTTAGCAAATGAAATGCTAGCTATGTTAGCAAAGGAAATGCTAGCTATGTTAGCAAAGGAAATGCTAGCTATGTTAGCAAAGGAAATACTTGCTACGTTAGCAGTGTTGTGTACTGAATATGAGTTTTACAATTCAAGCTCAGTTGTTTGAATTGTGACGTTTGATTAAACGTCATGAATAGTTTTTTTTTTTCTTTCTGCGGTTTGTTAAGACAAATATAATTTGATGCATATGCAAGTGTCCCAGACTACTTCTGAAGGAGATCTGAGAGTAACAACCCACAATGAGTCTTGACTGCTCTCAAACCTCCATGGCATCAGACAGAATGGAGGGAGTGAACAGAGTCTTTGTTGTACTGTGAGGTAACTGGTGATCCACCACTGGGGACAGGAACCAGACCAATGGACGCACCATTCATTTTCACCCAATTTTACTTGTTTAGTAATCCAGGATATGGGTTGATCTATTTATTCCACAGTTTGACAGTATCAGTTTCGTGGGGATAAAAACCACAGTGGTGGACAATAACACTATATTTATTTTAGTACTGCACTTAAGTATATTTGAGTATCTTTACTTGAGTATTTATTTTTGGGGAAACTTCTGACTTTCACTCTGCTATACTTCTAAGAAACGTGTCGTTACTCGTTCCTTTTGGCTCGCCTTAGCTTTCTAGTCCACTGTTGCTGTTTTACTTTACTGAAAAAAATTGGCCACACACTATGCCCATCCCCATCAAAAAAAATAAATAAATAAAAACTTTGGAGTGTTTGTATCTCGTTTTAAGAGAGTGCAAAGTGTTCAAGACATTAATACTGCTGTAAATAATTACCATTGCTTCACCACTAAAGATACTTAGCAACTATACAAAAACAAATGCAGCCTAAAAATTATGTCCTGGTTCTGTTTATGTCCTGAAGAATCTGACAACACTGGTCAGAGGTTGCAAGGTGAGGGCCAGGCGAGCCATGACTGGTTGAGGTCAATGTGAGGTTACTTCCGTTCAGGGATTCCAGACTATTCCCGTCCATCACATAAGGCAATCCAGAGGACCTCTGCAACCCGGAGCCGCTCCTCCTGCCCTGCCTTGTCATAGTGATGCACAACAGAAGGCGATAGATGCTGAGAGTGCAGGAGATTGAAGGCAGTCTGTTGTGAGAAAGTCTGCACACATGCAGACTTGGCTGGAGAGTGACCCCTCACTGGGAAAGCCGATGCTCCTGTTTTAGGATCTTACAAATTCCAAGGAAACATATGGGTCAGAAGCTGATTAGATGCTTGTAGTTCTCTTCAGGGGGCTTTATGAAGTAGCGTTAAAAGCTAAATAAGGTGACAGACAGTGGCCAAACAGGAGGGAAATCTTTTTCTTTTTTTGGGTCCTGAAGACCTTCATTAATCTTTAGACTTTCTTGAGACTCTTAACCCGGGAGAAAAAGTTAAATTTGATCACACAAACACAGGAAGCGCCCGCTATGAAAACACTCGTGGCTTTCTATGGCAGTTTACACGACCAGGCTGATCCGATAAGCCACCTGGTTTTATTGACTTCGTGAATCAGAGTAAAGTATCGATTCGGCGTAGCTATGAGCTAAATGCTATATGCTACGCGCAAATCTCCAGTGTATAACTTGATACAGGCAGAGCAGATCTCTCCACTCTGCTCAAGGGATCTTTATCTCTGCAGCAGGATTGAATTATTTCTTCTTGCTCAGCTGTGGGAATTAAGTTATAGTGACCATAATCCTCAGAAACAGACTGCTTGTGTCATAGGTCTGTGTAAAGAGAACGTGACCAGAGCACACAGCCAGATGCTAATTTGGCTGCAAGTCCAACGCTCCTGCCGACTGTTCGGACACTTAGAAGCAAAGTAAGAGAGACGGTGAGAGTCGAGGAGAAATGCTCTCCATATTCCTTTGACAAAGACATTTTCACAATAGCTTCTAAAGTTAGGAGGATTGTATGCGGCTTATTGATTTCTTTGTTGCAGTGTCCGGGAGATGGCGCCGAGAAAATGAGGTCTGGCTTGAAGGTTTATGTCCTGCCACCGTCAGGAGGAAACGTGAGCCGAGGATTCGGCTGGCCTTTTATTGTAAATGCGCTCCCTCTAGATGGACTTAAAGTGTCTGTTTTCCTGGCTATTGGAGACGAATTAAATATGAAGAGTATCAGTAAATGGGCAGGAAGACTCCAAACGAGTGCTCAGGGACAGTTTCCCATTATTGTCATCTATTATCTTGGACAGTTAGGGATATTGTCCGGTCTGTCGTCAGCTGCTATTGCGCTGTGCATCGCCGTGGCAGGTGCGCAGGTTATGGGGTTATGTGAAAACAAAGTGGAGCATTTGACCATTAAATGGATTATTTGCACCTACTTTGCACCACAATAACAGATAGGGACAGTCATAATTAATGCATAAGGCGAGACAATATACAAGAAAGCAAGACTGAGTTCAAGAGAGCTTCCAAATGGTGATTGTAAAAAAAAAAAAAAACAACAAACTGAGCTACTTATAAATAGTAATGCAGCTGAAATACAGTTGTTAAATAGTAAACAAATATTCTTCTTTATAAGCTCTGACTTCTGACCAGTAGGTCACAGTGAGACATGCAATCTTTTTATGAATAGTGTCATTCAGAGAACAGACTACATGTAAGCACAAAGAGGGTCTTCAGTGCAGATGCTGAGACCAATTAAAGAAGATGTAAGGTGTGGATCCCCGTTCTCTGGGGCCATAGTTGGTACAAGTATGAAATGTTTAGTTGTACTCAGAAGAAACTTTGGCTCCATCATCGTTCCATTTATCACAGGACACAGACACACAGGACGCCAATTCAAGTTGAAAAACTCAGTGAGGTTTGATATTTGGTCTGTTAGGACTGTAACTTTTAACATTTTAATTCAAAAGGCAGCCATATTGTGCTTTTTCCTTTTATCATGCTTGGTGAGAAACTGCTGACTTTCCCAGACAGAGGTTTGAGTTTTTGATCATTTTTCTGACTTGAAACTTGAAAGTTTCAACTTTCGAGTAAAAATAGAGTGCAGAATTCAGTCATTCTTTTACTAATCAATATCCATAAGAACAATTTTTAAAAATACATTTCTGACATACAGCAAACAAACGGAAAAAGTGCACATCTTGTTGCCGTATGGATAATCCTGTGATACTACCAAAACATAGTCAGTTGATTTGAAAACTGCTAATTGCTGTTAATTCTGCTAAAAATACTAACAAAGCACTTTTTAACAGCAACTGCTGTCTTCAGGATGTGTTTGGATCTTACCTCTCTTTCTAATACAAATTATTATAGTTCTCAAAGAGAAATCAGAATTGACTATTTCAGGTCAAAGGTTTACAAAACTGGGAACAAAATTATTACCTTACTTAATAAAGAAATACTATTTTCTAATGATTCTTATGAATTCCATTCAGAAATACTTTATTAAAACTGAAGTGCTACTAAATGTTTCATCAGTCATAGATGTTGTTGTATAGCTGTCTTGTGCTGCAATTTCTTTGTGTTACTCCATCTAAGGAGAAAAATGATACCTAATGTAAGAGTAGAAAAATTCACATTTAAAGACAGGAGAATGTTTTTAAAAGATTAAAAAGTTCTCCAACCACAAAAGAGTCGGACGTTTTGTGTGTGTGGAGGTGCGTTACAGTAAGGATCTTTCTGGATGTTTGGACTGTGTCCGATCCTAGCGTAGCTCCGGGCTCACCTCTGCATATGGCCGCTGTAAAACGTTGCTCCTCACACTGACAGTCACTCTGAATAATAGGCCTGCGAGCCATAAATGTCACCCCTTTAAATCACGCACAGGCCAGAACTGCGTCTTACAGAGAAAAGGCTTCATCACCGCTTAAGCTACAGATGCCCATTTATAATGTGTGTGTTTATAAATCACTAAGGAGACCTCACATTCCTGAAGCCTGCAAAATGGAGGGGGGGTGGGTGACTGGAAAGGGAGGGAAAAGAAAGGAAATCAAAAATATATAAAGTGAAGTCAACATCAACAACATATCTCATAGATTTATGCTCTGATCACTATGAAGTTGAATATTTTGGAAAAGTGTGGATTTTTTCTTTTTCTTTTTGAAGAATTTTATTTTGTTGCACAAATATTTTCAATTCTTATCTTACATGAGAACTATTAGATATAGACTTAATGATTATTAAATGTAAAAATTAAAGTAACTAAATTGTTCAAAATGGTAGAAAGTGTTTGTATTTGTGAGTTGAATTAAAAGAAATCCTACTTCAGGACACTACTATCCCCATGAATAAGTAATAAAAAGTTAATCATCTAGATATGAGTCACATTTATCTCATGTTCAGTCTCATTTGTTCATCAAGGTTATCTTGATTCTTCTTTAAATTCTTTGTGTCTTTTCTTCATATATAGCCTAGTATGAACCCTTGTTATATGCTTCACTCCCTGCAGAGGGGCTGAACTCCTCGCCATTAAGAAATGATTGCTTGCTGAGACCGTGGACTCTGTTCAAGTTTTAAATGTCAACCATTTTCCAGTGTTTGCTCGTGACGTATGTAATGCGCCAGATCAACACTGTGAAGCAGTAAACTACCTTCCTCCACTGCGAACAGAGAAGTCCCGAGCCGATGAGACGGCTGTTAATGTTAACTCAGTATTCGGAAGCGTCACCAACACTTACTGAACATCGTTCACTTCTTCCTTTCCATTGCTAAAACTACAGACTGTAATTCTAAAACAGTGCAGAAAATTAACGTCATTGTTCACAACTTCTTTTTCTGCTTTCTCATTGGTCCCATTGGAATTCTACTAGAGGAATCCAAGTCAATGGGAGAAAACCCAGACGAAAACCTGAAGGAAGATTTAAATTGAGTGGAGTTGTGCAGAAAGGTAATGACCAGGGTACTTTATAAATATAGTCTGAAGTAAATGCATGATCTTTAATAAGCCCATAAATGCAGACATGGAGGGATAAACATTCTGGGTTTTTTTTTTTGAGAACACCGTGATATATTAGTATAAACTCAAACATATTTAAATGTTGTTTTTTCCAATGGTCTCTGTACAGTCTGAGTGAAAGACAAGTTTTACTGCACAGACAGTCTCCTTCACTCAGGTGTCTGCTCAGCGTCAAGCAGCACCACCTTTCCACTCGGACTAACACTCCTGTTCTCGACGGTTAACATCAACACTCAGCTGACGGCCAAATTTCTAAACTTCTGCCAGGGACACGGATCCACAGACTAAAATAACAACTGCAGCAAAGATGAGTTGAAAAAGACAATCAGCTCTTGAATCCCAGCCCATTTTACAGTCCCGGCTCGGAAATTTATGAAGTCCACCAGCGAGAGGTCTGATTGAGGAATACATGTACTGTATTTTCATATTCATGGAGTATAATGCTTCATAAAAAGGTCATTTTCCATAAAAAAAAGGCACATTCTTAAATTTTACTCTTTGTCTAAGTTTTCCCTTTTCTTCTAGCTTGTTCAGGCTTTTTCATTTATTTAACATTTTAAAATGACACAAAATAAAACATTTACATATTTGTCAATGTATTTATTTTGAGGGAAAATCAAAAATAGCCAAGAGGCTCGGAAAAGTCTTAAGTGCGTTAACCAAATTTAGACACACACATTAAACGGTACTAGACTCACTTTACTGTGTTAGACTACCTCTGCTGAACACACCATCATTGTCCCACTTTCTCTTTTCCCAGGCTGCTCTGTTTTCCCTCCGGTTCAGCTGGTAGTTAACCAAACAGAAGAAACCGCATCTCATCTTAGATCCAGCTTAGATCCCTGTTGCCTCAGGACAAAGTTTCAACTCTGTGTCCCTTGAATTTCGAATTAGGGCTTTGTATAATTTTGTCAAGTAGCGGTGAGGCTGACTCTTAAACGTGGTTACTAAAAGGTTGCCAATGTCGGACTGATCCAAAAACTATGAAACCAAGGTAATTATTTGGTATGGATGCAACCAAGGCAGTCTCAAATATTTATTTAGGCTCTGGTCATTTCACTGTTTGGACATTTCATAGCTTTTAGATTTTGGTGGTTTTTACAAAAGGGAGCTGTCTGCCAGCGGAACATAATGTACCAACCACGTGTCAATTCAAAACCACCTTAAGAATGATTTCTACCCCATATCACCACTGGTGAATTAAAGTGATTTTCTTCAATCAACTCATAATCTGATGCAGGGACAGTTAATAATATGTACAAGCAAGAAAACGGTAGCATCAACAAAATTGAACAGGTTGTTAAAGGATCACAGTTCTGTCCATTTTCAGGACGTTTCATCCTCATTTTGACAACCAACGGTTTAAAGTAATTTTTCTTGCCAAGTCTGTCTAGTGTCAGAAAATGTGGGTTTATGGCTCCAGTAAAGAATATCTCCCTTCATTGCAACACGAGGCGTTTCCTACCAGCCACACGTTGTGTCACATTCATCTTCGATAACTAATGAATTAAAAGTAATTTTCATTAAATAGTCTGCTGTGGGGAAATGTGGGTAACGACTCCAGTAAATGACATCTGCGAACAGGAGAACGGATGCTTCATACCAGCAACGTATTGCTTCATTGTTGACTTTGGACTTTTGCACGTCCCGTGAGAGACTGCGACTTAGGAGGCATTTTCATCAATCCTGTTTTAGTCAGTTGTAAGGAAAACGAGTTTTTTGACTGCAATAAATCATATCTACCAGCTGAAATGAATTACAAACAAGGATTTTATAATATATTTCATAAACTTGCCCTGACACTGCAAGGCAACCAGACCCACTGGGAAAGTGAGGGTGCAAAAAGGATGTAGAGCCCTGAAGTGACCTGGAAACCTGTCTAAGGTCACATTTTTCTCAGAAATGTTGATATTTTTTTTTACTTTCACATCACCATAAAGAATAGAGCATCTCAACTTCAGATGAACATGTAGTGCGGTGGAAAGCAGGGATCGGAGCGGATTTTTAGTGTTTGAAAATTGGTCTTGAAAACTGACTTTTTTTTTTTTTTCTCTCCCCAACTTCACCATCATGCTGATATTCTAATGCGTCTTGATAAACATCTCTTTTCTTGCATCAAAGCATCGTTCAGGAACTCCAGCGGTCCGCGTTCGTGTCAATACAACCCGAGGCCCGGTCTTAATTGAGACGTATCTGTATCGAGCAGCCAAATCTACAAGTCACTCATTGAATATGAAAAATGGAATGTGGGAATGAGCGGCGAGGGCGGGAGAGAGATCAATGATATAGATCTGCATGTGCAGACTAAGCCGATCCTACCACCAACCCACCCCTCCTCCTCCGACCCCCACATCTTGTGTGCATGCATGCGTGTTTGCACGTGTGTGTGGCGGGCGCTGCAGCATTATTGGACATCTGAATGAGTAATGACGTCGTCCCAGACAGGGCAATTACCACCAGCGCTCATTTATTGAAGAGTGGATTGAGAAATGGAAGGAGGAGGATGGTGGCTCTGGTGCTGAGGGAATAGACGATGAATAGAAGGAGGAAATGACCCAGGGAACAAATTCAGGAAATTCTGTATTTACTCTATGTAATTCATTGAAAACGTGCTTCATCAAACGTGCATTTAGGCCTCCTCTGTGAACAAATGTGACGCTTAATTTAAGTAACCGTGATGCGTTGATTTTGCTGCTGAGAAGCAGCTCAGTGTTTACCCAATAACTCGGATCGATTCTGATCTGAGATTATTTTGACTTGTTAGTTCCCACCTATAGATCACGCTCGCCCTGTCATAGATACTATTGGTGTTTAGTTGATCCAATTATTTTTATGATTCACAATTACAACGTCGCCTCTTGGAGCCACAAATGCACGGCTCCCATCCCAGTTTGAGGTGGGACATTTTACTAAACGGGTTTCGTTTTCAATAAACTGCAGCTGAACACTTTAAATAGTAAATGTTGGTGTAATTGATTTAGCTGTGGATAAACTGACCTGTTGTCACAGTGGGCCTATGCCAAACAACTGTGCAATCTGACTACTTGGCTTCATACAAATCCAAAATTCAACACCTACTAAAATCTTGAAGGTGAATTTAATGCTGTCTAGAAGTCATCTTCTGTGTAACTGCATGATAACATGATAACCCCATTCATAATGCCAATGCTTCACTAATAGATTTATAGCATAAATTGATTGGTTTATTTGAAACAAATATTTTATTGCTCTCTAGAGAAACCAGATTCTGTTTCTGAACAACTCCAAAATCAGGAAGCAAACTATAGTGCAGGGTATTCTGGGTAAATACAATCACAACAAACGTGCAACTCTAACGCTAGTGGAAGAAGTGACTCATGA